GTGAGCCACCATGCCCAGCTAATTTTTAGTCTTTTTGGTAGAGATGGGGTTTTGCCATGTTGCCAAGGCTGGTCTCAAATTCCTGAGCTCAGACAATCTGCTCACCTTGGCCTCCCAGTGTTCTGCTATTACTGGTGTGAGCCACTATGCCTGATCAGAACTCCCTATTTTTTTCAGTCAGGAAGATTAAGAGTCCTGATTAGTTCACAGTCACACCAATCGTGGCTAGATCTTTTGCCTTCTAGCATTCCCATTACACATGCTACTTTCTGTTCCTTAACTTATATTAGGTAATAGCTCTTTAAACAGATATATTTTAATTTACATAAAAGCATTAACTACTTTTTCTACTTTATTGCACCCTATAAAAGCAGATAGAGTTGGAACTCAGTGAATGCTTGCTGAAAGAAGGAAAAGTGCATTCTTGTCTACAGGTGTTTTCACAGCTGCAGGGACATTTATAAAGCTTCCCCAGGTCTCAGTCATCAAAAAAGATGAAGACCATGGCTTTTATATTACATCATTTCTCATAGAGGGAATGGTTGATACATGACATGCGAAAGCAGGATCACTGTCTCAGGTAAAGGAACTACTAAAAGAACTATGAATACTTGGAGTCACTGAGTCAGGTTAAAGTTTCCAGGTAGTGGGAATCTATAAAAGAGAACTGAAAAGTTGCTTCAGGGACAAATGGAGGGAAAAAATAGTCAACCTTCCATTTAGAACGTGAGCTAACATCACAGCTGTTACTCTGATGGTAATTCCTGCCTACTATTTATAAACTAAGAGTTAAGACAAAGTACAACATGACAAAATGTTCTAAACACAATGCAAAATAAAATAACCTAAAAGTCCAAAATTTAGTTCAATAGGTGAAATTAAAAATTTTCTTTCTAAAATAGGAAAGATGTACAAAAACCACAAAAATGAAATAAAAGGAAGATATAAAGAATTTCTAAATGAGTAACTAAGAAAGTGCTAAACTAAGGCAAGACACTATGAAAAGGAAAAGAATTTCAAAGACTAAAACATAAAGGGTAAAAGTCTAGGAAGACTAGGGGGCTAACATATAAAAAGTTAAAAGCAAAAGAGACACACACACAACACCCAAATAGGTATCAGCTAAGATAAGGGCAAAAATTGAACAAAAACTAGAAAAACTGAGTAAAATTAGATTAAAAAGTTTCTAAAATGAGAAGAATCTGCCCAAGTGTCCATCAAGAGAAGAATGGATAAACAAAATGTGGTTTATACAAAGGAATATTATTCAACTATGAAAAGAAATGAAGTTATGATACATGCATACAACACAGATGAACTTTGAAAGCATTATGCTAAGCCACTGAATTGCATACTTTAAAATGGATCAAGTGGAAAAACTTTGTTATACATATATTTTATCCAAAGAAAGGAGGAAGCAAAACAGACTAAAAGAAGAATCAGTATGCGACAAAACCAGAAATTAAAATAAAAAATAAAAAATATATTAAAATCATAAATATGTGAAATTATTGCAAGAACACCACCCCCAAATACCATTAAGGAACCTAAGGAACATAAGAAGTAAAAGGTAGGAGAGGGATGTCAAAGCAGCAGCAGCACAATTAGATAATTTAATCTCAAGTAAGTAGGATGACCATATAATTTACCATTCTAACCAGGACATATTTGAGAGGAAAGGGGACACTATTAATAATTACACAGGGACAACAGGTGTAGGCTGGAGTTGTCCCAGGCATAAGTGGATATGTGGTCACTCTCTATATAAGGGCAATCGGGTCCTCAAGGTTGAGTTCACGCCCACAGCTTGGGGTCTGGCAGAAGTACAACACTCCGACAGTGTCTTCCTGAAGGACTCAAGTGGTCAAAAACGCAAGACTGGTTTTCATTTTTTTACAGAGAAATAAAACACAATTCATGGCCTTTACTGAAGTGTACTGATTCGTGATTCATAAAACAATGAGCATATCATAAGATTTTATTAAGAGCTATAATTTAGTGTTCTTGAAATTTTAGAAGGCTGAATTATACTTTGAAATGCACTGGCAGGCATACTAAGGAAGTCCTGAGGTGAATCATTTTATATAAACCTACATTTTTATATATTACATTAGAGCCCTACAAATATATGTATACACTCTTTTTTTGTTTGTTTGTTTTTGAGACAGAGTCTCCCTGTCACCCAGGCTGGAGTGCTGTGGTGTGATCTCAGCTCACTGCAACCACTGCCTCCCCGGTTCAAGAGATTCTCCTGCCTCAGCCTCCCAACTAGCTGGGATTACAGGTGGGTGCCATGACGCCCGACTAATTTTTGTATTTTTAGTAGAGACAGGGTTTTACTATGTTGGCCAGGTTGGTCTCGAACTCCTGACCTCAGGTGATCTGCCTGCCTCGATGGATATACTCGTTTATACTTACATTTGACTAGAGACAACTGAGACTTGAAAATTTGAAAAATCAAGTTAGAATTACTGAGAAAATTAGTAGCTCTGATGTTCTACCCATTCTTTATTTTTAAACTAAAATTAATCTTAATGACCTACAAATAGGTTAACTTAAACAGTCCATACCTTACATGAGAAGCTCCGACTTGGGATGTTTCTTGCTAACTCTGATATCTTGGGTTTATTCTGAAGACACTTGGTTAGGTGATATTTTTTCAATTTTATTCTATTGTAATAATGATCAGCAAAGTTATAGTGATTCAAATGCTGTTTCTGCATGCATTTTCCAAGGTGAGGAATACTATACTTCAAAGCTTGGAGAAATAATTTGGTCTTCTGCTGCATGATACCAAAGTCCCTGGTTTATGCTCCTTTTGGGGCTGCCAGCACACGAATGATTTTATAGGTATGATTACAGAGTAGTGGGTTCTCAGAGTATCTAAGATCAGCAGTTCTTATTGCTCCTTTTCAGGGCCATGCCCCGCTTAGGTTATGAGTAACTTCAGACAGCTGATAACTTAGGCTAACTAAATCTAAAAACGTGTGTAAGTTAAAGTTTCATTCAAATCATACTTCTTGGCAGATGTGACTTAAATGTCTCATTTGTAAAATTAATCCTATCAGGCTCAAACTATGCAGCACTGATTCTGGCACACATAGGGGCAAACTAAAACAAAAAACAAAACAAGAAACAAAATAAAAATTTGCAAATAAGTACACAGACTTAATGGGATATCTCAGGAACTCAGGGCTGTAAAAGGTAAAAAGCCTTTGGTCTTACATAATTATGAACATATCTTTGGTATGTATGTGGAAGATAAACTGGAAAAGCCTAATTATTTAATACAGGTGGGGGAGGGAAGATTAATTATTGTTGAGTGTTAACTAAGTGCCAGGTGCTTTTATCTTATCTAATTTAAATTTTATATGGACTTGATAAATTAGATACTACAATGCACATTTTACAAGTTGCCAAACTGTGGCTGTGGGAGGTTCTAAGCAACTGTTCCAGGTCACTGGGACAGTAAGCTATATAGCAAAAAATCCAATTTGTTTTGGTTCCAAATATTGGAAAACTCAACTATGGATTTTAACGTTAAAAAGGTATTTAGTGCTTTAATTAAAAACAACAAAAAAACCCTGCAAGATGCACAAATAAAATGTGAGGCCATCTCTGGTTTGTCAGGAGGTAGCTTTTATTAACCTTGAGAGCTAATAAATAGTTAAGAGTCAGAGAGACCTGGGTTGAGGTCTTAGCTCCAACACTTAACTGTGTCTCTGGGCCTTATCTGTGGCCCAGTTTCCTTATCTGCAAAAATGAAATGACACCATTTACCTTCTAGGGTTGTTGTTAGAAAAACAAAATGAGGCAGTTTAATGTTAAGACCATAGAGTGCCTGGCACGTAGTGACCACTCAATAAATGGCAGTTGCTATGATTTACGTCAGGAATAATCAAGGTCTGTTGCACACAGCTGAACGTCATTATGGACGTCTTCCACAAAATGCCCCCTGGTATCAAAGGTAGAAGGCTGCGTCAAATTTACCATAGATCAGATGCGCTACGACGCCCCCGCCCCCCTTAATCCCTTTCCATGTCGCAGCAAAATAATGGGCGATTGGGGGTAGAGAAGCAACACTAGTTTTACTAGCTGACACTAGTAAAAAAAAAAGGGGGAAAAAAAGACCCGAATAACAAGGGCCTGCAAAGGTCCTACATCCCCACGTCCCCACAGCCTTTATCCATCCTTCATCCTCAAGGAGAAGACAGTATGCAAGGCTAGGATGGGGGTGGGGTAGATAAACGGGTGTTCTCGGGAGAACCTATTCGTTTTCCCCATGCAACTCTCCACCCCAGGGATGAGGCGATCTGAATGCAACAGGGAGAGGGACCAGGTGACACGCACGCAGTGCTGGGCCATGAGTCAAAAAGCGAGGACATGGGGACTGAGGGGTGGGTGGCTGGGTGTGGGGAGGAAGGGGAGAAGGGAAGAGACCAGCACACTCCCCATACATACGCAAATTGAGAGAATCAGTCCGGCTCTGGACACAAACCAGTGAAGGCAGGCCGGAGAACCTGAAGCTCTCAGAGAGGAGCAGGTGTCACCGCAGGCACGTCCAGCCGAAGTCTGCGTTCCGCAGCCCACAGAACGACAACCTACCCAGAGCCGCCTAGAGCTGGTTTGCAGCACGCCGAGCTACGTAACCTCAATCTACCACGAGCAACAGGCAGATTTCGCCATCTTTGTTGTGGTCAAGGATTTTTCTTGCGTTCCTAGGTTCTTTAGTCTCAAAATATATAAGACTCTTCGTTCTCTGCTAGCCTTCTGAGCTCGAGATGAAGCAGAGAAGACTAAGACAATGCGGGACAGCGTTCCAGTAGCCCTGCCACGTTTCTCTAACCCTCTGGTCCGCCCTCACTCAAGATGGCTACCGGCAAAATGGTGCAATGACGTGACAGCGCGGCCCTGGTTGCCAAGGAGATGCGAGTACCGGAAATGCGGAATTCGGGGAGGGCGCGCATGCCTGGGTCGTGGGGGGGGGGGGGGGGGGGCGGCACAGGTCCTGACAGGGAAGAAGTTGGCAGGTCCTGGCAGGGGACGAGCTGCGGTGGCGGTACCTCCGGGTATGGAAGGCTCCAGTGAGATGGAGTCGCGAGTCGCGGACGCTGGGGCCGGTGAGACTGCGAGAGCAGCGGGCGGCGGTCCGGCAGTTGGCTGCACCACTCGGGGGGCCGTAGTCTCGGCGCCCCTGGGAGCCGCCCGGTGGAAGCTCCTGCGGCAGGTAGGGGAGAACCTGCTCGCCTCACCTTTGCCTCTGGTCACTCCCCTCTCACGTACCGGGGGAGCGACCGTTCGCAGCTCTTTCCTCTTGGCAGTTCTGGGAGTCCCTTCTCAGTTTGCCGGGAACCACCTGCGAAGCTCCCCCTCGCTTCACCTAAGTGTCCCATCCAAGAGGAGGAATAGGTGGGGTTGGATGAGGAGGAAGACAGCCAAGGCTGAGCTCCTGGGAAACTCAGATCGAAGTAGAGGAACCCCTTCTATACATTTTTGTGCGTCTGGGGGACTTTTCCCCTTCTCGCCAGTCTCTGGTGCGCCCGCCGCTCCCCACTGCTCTTTTCCTGCTTCTGTTTTGCCTCCTTCCCCAGGTTTCTTCTAGCTTAACTTCCAGCCTGGTTCTAGTTACCGATGTTCTTCTGCACCCTCTGGCCCCGTCTTTTGCCCAGCTTGGTTGACTGTGCCGGGGCTGAGATGCGGCACGCGTTCCCTCGGCATCTTCCGTACAGCTGAGCGTGCAAGGAGTAGGAAGAGCTGACCTCCTCTCCCACCGAGGTCTCAAAGTTCAATGATTATCTTGTAGTTTGAAGTGATCAGCGAGATTCTCCGTGTCCAAAGTGGTTTAGTCAAAGTGTGTTCGTTTGTTGAATGATGGTATCTTCTGGTACTTCAAAGTTTCTGCTGTTACTTAGAACTTCACTTGTGCAAGCTTGACGGAAGTTCTGATTTATGATCACTCACAATATTCGCTCACTTCTTGAAGTTAAGTCTGATTATTGTTTTTACATACCAGTGTTATGCCTCTGCCTGAAGTTTTCTGCCTAAAGCTTTACTCAGGAGGACATTTTTCCATTTCTGACAGTTGTGTTTGGAAGAGTTTCCCAGCTATTGCCACTTTACTTGAGATTGTGCTTTTAGTATTTTGAGGGTCACTTTGTTTGCAGTTGCCTTGAGTCACCTTTTCATACAGTGGTCTTTTAGTGCTTTTGGAGTTATGAGTTAAGTAGGTCATCAGAGTTAATTAAAATTTATTTGCTGATGCATTGACAGTCTTTCCAGACCAGTAATGATCTGGTTTTGCTATTGTTACAAATGGTATTACAGGATAAGGAAATGCATGTCCTCACAGATCATCATAGGAAGTACCTATAATAAAGTAAACATCTGATTTTTTTGTTTGTTTTTAATAGTGACCACTGAAATGAGATCTTGGACTCAACCCTCCTCCTGCCCCCCCCCCCCCCGCTTTTTTTTTGAGATGGAGTTTCACTCTTGTTGCACAGGCTGGAGTGCAATGGCTGCGATCTCGGCTCACAGCAACCTCCGCCTCCCGCGTTCAAATGATTCTCCTTCTTCAGTCTCCCTAGCAGCTGGGATTACAGGCATGCACCACCACACCTGGCTTTTTTTTTTTTTTTTTTTTTTTTTTTTTTTTAGTAGAGACGGGGTTTCTCCATGTTGGTCAGGCTGGTCTCGAACTCCCGACCTCAGGTGATCCACCCACCTCGGCTTCCCAAAGTGCTGGGATTACAGGCGTGAGCCACAGTGCCCGGCCCCCTCCCGTTTTTTTTTTTTTGTTTTTTTTTGTTTTTTTTGATACACAGTCTTACTATGTCGTCCAGGCGGGAGTGCAGTGGTGCAATGTTGACTCACTGCAGCCTCTGCCTCCCTGGTTCAAGCAATTCTCCCTTACTCAGCCTCCCGAGTAGCTGGGATTACAGGCGCTCACCATCACACCCGGCTAATTTTTGTATTTTTAGTAGAGACGGAGTTTCGCCATTTTGGCCAGGCTCGTCTCGAACTCTTGACTTCAGGTGATTCACCTGCCTTGCCTCCCAAAGTGCTGGGATTATAGGCCTGAGCCACTGTGCCTGCTGCGCCCACGCCCCCCACCCCCCGACTTCTTCTTCTTCTTTTTTTTTTTTTTTAAATGAGCTAGGGTCTTACTTGTTGCCCAGGCAGGTAACTTCTGGGCTCAAGCAATCCTCCCACCTCAGCCTCCTGAGTAGTTGGGATTACAGGGGTATGCCATGATGCCTGGCTTTCAGTGATTCTTAGTGTAGTAAAAGCTACAGCATTTACGTTCATTATAAATTGCGGTCTAAATGAGAACAGTGACAAGTTTCAGCTGTGGCTGTTACATGAACTCCCCACACGTTCTGACATTGAAACTTTTGGTATACATCTGCCTGCTTAGAGTCTTTTTATCTTCTCTACTTGGTGAATGAGTGTTCATTCTTCACACTTCCATTTCAAACTACTCTTCTGTGAAGCCACCCCTAATGCCTCTGGGCTAAGTTAAACCCTCAGCTCACTCTACCAGTGAGCCCCTTATATTATTTTATGATCATGTGATCAGGGTCTCTCTTTCTTACTAGAACGGGCATTCTCCCTGGGAAAAGGTGATGTTTTATTAGTTTATATCCTCTGCATCTAGCACAGGACCTGGTTAATTGGTTTTTAGTAGATGTTTTTAAGTGTCTGTGGAAAGCCTGAGAGTAAGGTCAGTCTTTAAATGGCGCATAGCACCTAGTCCTTAGTGTATTTTATCGGTAAGGTATTGCTCAGTAAGAACCACAACATCACAGTGGCATACAGCAGTTAATATTTGTTTTGTTGGTGCATGTGGGGACCACCTGGGAGCTGACTGACATAGGCTGTAGTCACCTGGGTATCTCTATGATGCACATGTGGTCCATATGTCTCTAATCTTTGGACTAGTGGGCTAAAGTCCTCATGGTGATAGCAGAGGTATAAGAACAAGCCCAACCACAGAAACACATTTTAAACCCCTGCTCACATCATGTGTTTACTTCCTATTGGCCAAAGTCAAGGGGCAGGGAAATACAACTCCTTCCTTGGAGGTGACAAAGAGGAAGTGAATCTTTTTCTATTATAATTTAATCGATCACATATATTAAACATTTACAAGCTCTTAGTAAATGTATTTCAAATGAATGAACCATTCCTATCTTATATGCATCTAGTACTGGAAAACTATAAGGGATCTAAGCAGTGCTAGAGATATGTGACTCCTTTTCTCTCTCGTGGGACATCTGCAGAACATCTGCTCTGTCCGCTTGTTTTTTCCTTTACAATTCTGTCTATCCATTACTCCAGTGCTGTCTCATGGCCTTTTACTTTATGTTAACTGTTCAGTATTTTCTGTGTTTTGTAATTAACAAAACACAGGTTTTGACAGAAAACCTGGTTGACCTAGTGCATCATTTGGTTCCAGGTTACATGATAAATTGCCAAAATTTGAGTCAAGCGAGTACTTAAATTAGACGAGGTCTGGAAGTTTATTAATCAATATCAGTAGAGGTTATGGATGTTGTTCTATTTTCCTCTTTGTTGAGTCTCATTACATGTTGACAAAGATGGCCACTGGCAACTCCAGGCTTTCATATCCATCCAGCTAGTAATCCAGAAGAAATAACTCTTTTCCCCAACATCCAAATCATTTCCTCCAAAGGACTCTGATAGGCCAAGGTTGTACCAATTGCTATGTCCAGAATGGGGCACTTTGGTTAACCTGGGTCATCAGCCCACCCTGTGGCAGGTAAGGTGTAACAACCTCACTAGAATTACATAGAGTGAGGGAGGGGCAGTTCCTAAAAGGAGGTGACGTAGGGCAGATGGAAGAGTAGCAATGACTGTTACACATGTATTTACAAACCACCTACCGAATGAAAAATCTTGCCTAGAGGTGTGACTACCTGGCTGAAGAATCTGATTATGGAATATTTCACAGTACAATTTATATCAAAGCAGGATGCTTTTACCTGGATTGGCTAATTGAAAAAGTTGGTTAAGAGGTGAATTGTAATAACAATACATATTCCAAGTGAAGTTATTTTTTGAGTGTCAAATCTTTCTAGATATTTATAATTCTTCAAATGTTTGTAGTTGGCTTCCAACACCTAAATTGATAGTAAACTTTTAAGCAACTTACCTTTATCTTTCTAAAACATTCAACTTGGCTTTTAGGGTAGCGACAACTCCCTTTTAGCTCTATGTTATTAGTTTTGTAATATTTAATTAATGACAAGTTAAATATTTAATTGATGACAAATTTAATTTATTTAATGACAAGTTAAATATTTCATTGATGACAAATTTAATTTGTTATTTTGAAGAACAAGTAGAATAAAAAGGTTTGTGAAGAAGCACAGTTAACTTGGCAAGCATACAACTTGACACTGGCATCAGATGCATCTAAATCTTGATCCAGTCCTAGGTCTACCACTTGCTGTGTGCTCTTCACTGATCTGTATCAAGTATTTAGATTGTTATGGAATGTATTTTTGTTTCACCTTTATTCTTGACTTTGTTTTATATCCTTACTTTTGCTTTCTTTTTTTCTTTCTCATCCACTTTTCACAAATGGTATCTTGTTGTATTGTTCATCTTTTTAAGCCATCTTAAATCCTTTTGGTAATAGGTGTGATGTAAGTCTTCTGTAAGTTGTCGGAATTTGGACAGCTTTTTTACTTTTCTAACCTCAGTTTTCTCTTCACTTAATGGGAGCAATAACACATACTTTGGAGGGTTGTTTTGAGTATTTGACATAATATTTGTAAAATGCTTAGCTTGGAATCTGCCACGTCATAGACTCACCATAAATAGTAGCTATTATTATTATTATTATTTGAGACAGAGTCTCACTCCATCACCCAGGCTGAAGTGCAGTGGTGTGATCCCGGCTCACTGCAACTTCCATGTCCTGGGTTCAAACGATTCTTGTGCGTTAGTCTTCCGAGTAGCTGGGACTACAGGTGCACACCACCACGCCTGGCTAATTTTTGTATTTTTTTTTTTAGCAGGGATGGGGTTTTGCCATGTTGCCCAGGCTGGTCTTGAACTCCTGAGCTTAAGCATTCTGCCCACCTCAGCCTCCCAAAGTGCTGGGATTACAGGTGTGACCACCATGCCTGGCCTGTTGCTATGTCTTAAAAATGGGAAACAATATAGCTTCTGCATATAAAGGATAAGGTTTTCTGGTTT